AAAAAAAAAATAGGGAAAACCTACAAGCACATAATATCAATCAAAAACAGAATCTAAACTAAACTTTTATCTTTGAAGAATATATTAAAACAATGAAGCAACGGAATACTAACAGAGATATTCATTGTATTCGAGTTCGAATTTCACACAAACATCCAAAAAGGAACACTCGATAGACCAAACAACTACGTATATTCCAAACTCGGCAAGACTAGAAACTGTACGTTTCCAGGTTACGATTGGAACTTTTGCACTCAAACCTTGTTCAGGCTCCGTCGATACTTCACTCTCCTCTGAAAGTTTCAAGTGACATAAGTTACTCTCCTCTGAAAGTTTCAAGTGACATAAGTTACAACAAAAGAAGCAACAAACACAATTACGCATCACACTACACCATAAGCTATCTAAACAATATATGTGTCTCTGTGTATGTTTAGAAATTATAAAAGATTCTAAAAAAAATGGGCAGATTACAGAAGAAAACATGAAAAGCACAAACGCGAAATCAACACAACCCATCAAAAACATAAGGCCCTTTTCATGTGTTCTTGAACAACGAAACCAAAAACCCAGAAAACCCATATGAATTCGAAAACAATTCAATAAAATAATCAGGAAAACAAACTGGGAGGAACAACAGAAAAACGGCCCTTTTCGATCTTTTCCCCCAAATAGTCGATAGATCTAAAAAATTACAGCCATAAGACATAACTGAGTCTGAGTTTTCTGTACCCCTCTGATTTGACGTACGAACTCTGGAGCTACAATTCTAGTACAAAACTAATCAAACTGAAAAGGGACATTGCTTTTTCTGATTTTTGTCTAGCTTTTTTTCCCGTAAATTTTCTCTGTTTGGAAGCCCTTGAAAGATATCTCTATTAGCGAGTATAATTTGGGGTTTGCTGTAGTACGCATTTATGACCATAGGAGCTGTAAAAGGCAAAAACGAAAAAAAAAAAACAAAAAGTAATTAATAAATAAAATATAAAATTTTACTGCATCCATGAATAATACTAGTTTTTGACCCGTGCTTTGTACGGAAAACTATACGATAGAGGAAAAAAAAATTGTAAAAATAATAACATGATCGTTGAGAGAAAAATTAAGCAAGAAAATTTAAATCTAAATATTATTAAACATTTATTTATATATAACGTTCGTGGTTTTTCTATCGTCAAAAACTCTATCACCACAAATCATTATTTTCAGACCCCTTTGATTCGTGACTCTAGATAGTGCCACATACAAGTGTCTATGACTGAATACAAGGTTCTTCAATAGTAATCCGACGTGGGACAGTGACTGGCCTTGACTTATGTTGATAGTCATAGCATATGAAACCATGAGCGGAAATTGTCTGCGTTAAAATTTAAACGGTTCCCTCAAATCGGATGGTATGATTGTGAGCCTAGGAATAAGAACCTTGTCACCGGCTCTGATTGTGATAACCAACCGTGTACCTATTGACATCAAAACTCAAAAAACAAAAGCATATCACTCAAATTTGTACAAAGATAAAAGAAAATGTAGATGACAAATTCAATTTTGATGAACAGTACTGTTGCACAACCCCATGGAGTGATCAATATTTCTGAGAAGCATCACTGGAGTGCCGACCTTATGGTGCAGTTTATGATTCGGAAGGCCAGAGCACTTGATCCCATTAAGTAATTCAGGAGTGTGAAGATCCTGAAGAGAATCATATTCAGCATCTGACTTGTACGCGGTGTTCGAACTCAAATAAGTCCTTCCCTCGGATGAGTTCAGTGAGCTCATGTAGTTGTTAACGGACTCAACCACATCATGTGTGGGGCCGAGTATTGCTCTGTCCTTCAGATAGCTAAGATCGTCATCTGCACTTCTGAACATCGGATAGGTACTCTCAACAATAGTACCAATAGGATCCCCTTGTGAGTGTAGAAGAATATCGTCGGGGATGTCGATATCGGCACAACTGTCGTTCGAGCCACCGACTGTACTGTAGCCAATGTTTGCAAGCCACTCAGAGAAGCGCCTCAACTCATCGTACTTATCGCCCCCACCAAGGCTTCAAAGCCTCATGTTCCGAGTCAGTCTCATAACGATACAATCGCACCACAACTTGAATGAATTGATGGTGGCGTTAACTATGTCGCTTCGACTGCCTCTAGGGACAACATGGAGTATCTGTCTGAAATCCCCACCTAACACAACACACTTGCCGCCAAATGGGAGATTTTTCCTCGATGGATCAACTGCTTCCATTAAGGCACGCAAGGTGTTGTCAACTGCCTGGAAGCAATATTTGCTCATCATCGGGGCTTCATCCCAAATGATCAACCGATATCGTATGATCAGTTCGGCCAAAGGACTCTGCTGGCTAATATCACATGTAAAGCCTTATGCTGGGTTTAGTGGGATTCTGAATCGTGAATGGACACCTCGTCCGCCGGGCAACAAAAGTGATGCGATACCGCTCGATGCAACGTTCAACACAATATCACCTTTGGATCTCAAAATTAGAAGACAACGCCCTCCAGACATATGTTTTACCAGTGCCGCCGTAACCATAAACGAAAAACATGTGGCAGTAGGTACGGTAAACAGAGTCCATTATAGAGCCATAAACATTCCGCTGCTCATTAGTCATATTGGCAACCAACTCCTGATTCTCAATAGCGAGCGCACGTCGATCGTAATTCAACTCATCCATCACCAGTCTATTCGTGGATGCCTCATTACGATCGAGATGAGGAAAAGGCATTGTATTGTATTCGCGTAAGCTCGTACCCCGTTTGCGCAAAATTTTTTCAACTTCAGCCAATGCCAGATTTTTTACTTCATCATCGCTCAGTACCAATTCTGTAAAACCAATATACAAAGTTTATATAAAGACAAAAGATGAAAAGAAAAAACAAACATAAGATTGTGATCGTAATTGATTTGTTTACTTGGTTGTTGTAAAACCCTCCGACGATTATATAATATATCATCCGATAGGTAAGGCCAGCATGATTCTCACATGAACTCCGGTCGACCGAGAGTATCAGAAACAACAAAGTAGCAAAAAGGTTTCTCAACGAATTGGCACTCGACCACTTGCTTGCCTCGATAATCCCTTCAATATACTCTTTGTCGTCCTCAACCAGACCGAGAGAAAAACACGCATCACGATATGAATCGTGTTGTACTCAGTCTAATTTCATATATTCACGATGGTACGTTGCACCTCGAACAACGTTGATAAGACACCAAAAATAATATATGTCACCAGCACCAGGGGTACGAAGTACAAAAGCGCGATACGAACACTTCCTTTTCTAGGCTCCCAACTGTTGGTTTTTGAGTGCTATTTAAATTTGGTGGGATCCTCAACGTACGTCAGTTTCCTGGCTTCAGGATACTTCTTGTTAGCTTCCATCAAGCTAAAAATTTGATGTCGGCATTTTTATTTTTCATAACCACTTGATCGAGAACTTCATCGTCATAGTAGCACGGATGCTCGTTCTCGAGGTGAAAATTCAAGCGCTCCACTAACGAGTGCTTGTATTGAATCTCATACTCCAACAACCGCCATGCAACCTCATAAGATGAAACGTATCGACAATCATAGTACATCTTCACCTCGTCAACTGGCCTGCTAGAGGACTCATCTCAATTGGACGCATGGAAGGTGGCAGTAACGCGATCTTTCCCCTTGTTCACGTACTTGAACAAATATTTTATGGACCTGGACTGGTTGCACCACTCCATATTTATGTGTGCACCGTACTTCAACAATTTTCTGTTATGAAGCACAACGTATCTGTTATCCAGGGGAATGCCATTCTTTTCTATGGTCCTGCCATTATCACGACGTCTGTATCGTGGATAGTCTTCTTCGTCAAGAGCTGTGGTTTTGGAGAATTTTTTTGGGAAATGTTTTGTGCAACAATCATTCTCCATACACGGAGATTTCGGGCGAACACTTCCGCAGGGCCATGCATCATATGATCTCTAACAGCAACATAGTAAAATGGATTGGTGGCCTCATCCGGTATTTCGGCGAAA